CTCCTGTTGGAGGGGGTTCCACAGCTCGCGTGAAGAAGTGGTTTCTTTTATCTGTCCCCAAATTTTCCAACATTCAGGCTCATTGTATTCCCACAACAGTTTTCACAACGCCTGTGGACATTTTGCCTTTTGCTGTTACCGTTTTCTTCCCTCAGGTTACAGTCACGGATGGAGGCGCCTCTCCCAAGCAGTCTACAGTCTGGCTGGTGGTCCAAGTCCTCGATGAGAACGACAACAAGCCCCAGTTCCCAGAGAAAGTCTACCAGATCAAGTTGCCAGAGAGGGACCGGAAGAAGAGAGGCGAGCCGATCTACAGAGCCTTCGCCTTTGACAAGGACGAAGGCCCCAATGCGGAGATTTCCTACAGCATCGTGGATGGGAATGACGACGGGAAGTTTTTCATTGACCCGAAGACTGGAATGGTCTCCTCAAGGAAGCAGTTCACAGCTGGGAGCTACGATATCTTAACGGTAAGCCATCCATGGTTGAAATGAGCAAGTGCACCACTTCTGAGTTTTATAGGGACGCTTCTCTTCAGTGTTGTTTTATGCAGCAGACTTTCCTAGATGTTATGAGGACTCTGCACCTTGTTCACCACAAAAACCATTTTGGGTTTCCTTGGGATTTCCTGCTGAATGCTAGGGGACTTTCCCCAAGCATGCAATGCGGGTTGTGGGGGGAAGGAAATGGGTGAAGTGTGCCAACTATTGCCAATTCCCCTCCCAGCTTCCGGGGGCGGGGGAGAGAGAAAGGGAACAAACCCAAAATATCTTTTCTTTTGAAAAGAAGATGGGGAGAGCTGAAGAACAGGCCATTCCATTCCTTGCTGCAAATGTCACACATGGACATTGGCTAAACCTTAAGGCGTCCATGGTGTGTGTGTGTGTGTGTGTGTGTGTGTGTGTGTGTGTTACAGGGGAGAGGAAGGGCAGTAGCTCTAGAGTCCGGGGTAAAAGGGTGAGGGGCTGCACGGACCTCTTGTCAACAACACCCCGTTCAATGGGGCCATAATATCTGACCCTGAGCAGCAAACCAGACTGTAACTCTGACCCAGATTATCATGAAGCAGCAGTTGGACTAACGCCATCAGAAGGGTTGGATCCAGGCCCAAACATCATGGCGAGGTCTGTTGGGCTCCTTGAATTGGCACCTCCAGAGCCACTAACCTCTGAGCCTCTGCAAATCACAGGTATAGCAAATGCTTTGCACTTTGAAGGTCTTAGGTTCAGCCCCTAATCTCTCCAGTTTGGAGGATGAGGTACCAGGTAGTGGGAGAAACTTTCAGATGTCTTCTAAAAAGATGTGTAGTTCTTTATCTCCTTGACATCTGATGGGAGGGCGTTCCACAGGGTGGGTGCCACTACCAAGAAGGCCCTTTGACCTGTTTCCTTGTAACTTCACTTCTCCCAGTGAGGGAACCCTTGGAACTGGACCTCAATGTCCAGGCTGGACGTTGGGGTGGAGACACTCCTTTAGGTATACAGGATTGAGGCCATTTATGGCTTTAAAGGTCAGCACCAACACTTTGAATTGTGCTAGGAGACGTACTGGGAGCCAATGTAGGTCTTTCAAGACCGATGTTATGTGGTCTCGGCGGCCGCTCCCAGTCACCAGTCTAGCTGCCGCATTCTGGATTAGTTGAAGTCTCCGACTCGCCTTCAAAGGTAGCTCCATGTAGCTTATTTTCCTGTGACTAAAGACTTATCCATACTTCCTTCTGTCCCTCTGCTTTCTCTAGGGGGAAACTGCTCTTTAGTTCCCAAGGGGAGCAAGCAGCCATTTGGGTTTTCTTCGGATTGACATTTGCTCTGATTTAAGAGCAAGTTTTATCTGGGATAGAATTGGGGCAAGGGGGAAACTGCTTGGACCCATGCTTAGAAAGTGTAGGTCAAGCAGAAAACGACTGATAGCCATGTTTTCTATGCATGAGACGAGCAGAAGTGTGGGCGACTCCTAAGTCCAGCGCAACTTTACAAACTGGCGAGAGTATTTCAACAACAGCTTTCATTGGCAACAACATACTTTGCCAGAAGCTTCTCACTAAGTCGAATTCAGGTGTCCTCAATCAAACTGAGCATTCAAATAGATTGTTTCCCCCAAAAATATATATGTAAGAATTTCGAGACTTTAATGAATATAAAAAGCACTTGGCAGACTCGCCTTAACACAGAACGTTAATTGGAGTGTTTTTCGCTGGAACAATTTTACATGGATTGGAAATAGACCGAGGAGGAACCTAAGCAAATGGTAAACAGTGAAGTATTGAGTGGGCACAGGTGTTTGGTGGTCTGCCATGCTGATCGATAGCTTCTCCAACCCCCCCACCCACTCACCCCATCTTTTTTAAAAGCCTTATCAGTGATTTCCAAGTGAGAGTAAGCAACACTGTAAGCAGGTGCTTTTCACGACTCACACTGTGAAGCAGAAAAAGAGATTTCTCTCTTTGGGATCTGGTTTAATGAACGGCAACCCCCTCTCAACACAGAGTGCCGAATCTAGCTGTCGCCCTTCAGCCCCCTGGTTTGGCTGCTTTGCCCCTCGGAGTGGCTCAGCTGCAGCTCTGAAGCCCCCCTCTCCCTTTTTATGCAGACCCAACTGCTTTGGATAGCAGCCCTTGTTAGAGACAGCAATAGCTACTAAGGAGAGAAGGCAAAAATTCATGGGAAGTCACAGGTGGTGGAAATTGCTGGACTGGCCTCCCTGCAAACCTCTCCCACCCCACTACAGTTTGACATAGCCGTAAAAGGTGAGCCTGGTGCCACAAGCTCTGCCACGAGTCGTATAGAGCACTAATTTAGAGATTTGCCCAAGCGTGAGCAGATTTCAAAATGCAGCCCCATCCTCTGCATTACCTGTGGAAATGTGGAAAACCTGCGTACACAAACTTAATAAGAGAGTAAGATCCTTCGCTCGGCGAGCTGCCAGGGGTTGGTGGCCGGTGGCAAAAGTGAGCGAAGCAACAGCTGTGACTCACAGCGGGCTGCCTTCCAACTTACGAGAAAGTCAGATGTTTCTTCATGGACCTCATATTACACACATCTCCCCATCTAGGCAAGGAAGAGGCACTGCTGCAGTTCAAGGACACAAAGACAGACAGACACACTCAAGGAGTTTGCAAAGCAGAGCAATTGAACATGTAGCCTGGGAAAAGTCTGGAGGGCAAGATAGCGAAGGCTGCAGGACCACATTCGGCCCCCAGGCTTAAAGTTCCCTATTTCTGATCTATACTGGGGAACATATGAAGCTGCGTTTTCCCATGCCAGACCAAAGCTTTTTCCCTCTTGTGGTCTAGGTATAATTGATGTAGCTCCCTGCAGATATGCATCTGTCCATGTACCACGTTGGGGGGGGACACCTCTGTCTCTCCAGATGTTGTTGGACTACAGGAGGAGGCGGAGTTTGGATTTGATATCCCGCTTTATCACTACCCGAAGGAGTCTCAAAGCGGCTAACATTCTCCTTTCCCTTCCTCCCCCACAACAAACACTCTGTGAGGTGAGTGAGGCTGAGAGACTTCAGAGAAGTGTGACTGGCCCAAGGTCACCCAGCAGCTGCATGTGGAGGAGCAGGGAAGTGAACCTGGTTCACCAGATTACAAGTCTACCGCTCTTAACCACTACACCACACCACAGTCTCCAGCTTCCTCTGCCTATGGCAGGCATGGCCAAGCTTTGTCCTCCAGCTGTTTTGGGACTACAATTCCCATCATCCCTGACCACTAGTCCTGTTAGCTAGGGATGATGGGAGTTGTAGTCCCAAAACAGCTGGAGGGCCAAGTTTGACCATGCCTGGTCTATGGGCATCTCCATTTAGGCAAGGGCTGATGTGAGTTGTAGTCCAGCAATACCTGGGAGGTTCCAGGTTCTCCAGTCCTGCCCTGGTTCTAAACCTGTGAATTCGTTCTGTGGCATCTTCACCCAAGAGGAGCACTTTACCTGGAATTTCCACCACCGAGAGTATGGGATGGATCTTCATTAGAATGAAAATAAGCAGGATGGATTCTTGTAGCCACCTTCCAAGACAGGAGCTGAGTTATGGTACTTCTGGCACCACACTTAAACAATTAGCCCAGCTACAGATCCATACGCAATGTTTCCTCTTTGGCATGGGATAGAAGCTTAGGCTGCATTCACACAGCATTCCCCTGACATTTCAGCATCACAGTGTATCTGAGCTTTCACATCATGCAAAAGCCACTTCCGGAAAATGAATGGAATACAGTAGGATCGCATCTTACTCACATTTAATTTCAACCTTTCATGGTTGAAGGCTGTTTGGTTGAAATCACACAAGTTAAACGCACGGAAGGAAGGAGCTTAAAAGTTATTTTTGCACAGGGTTTTATCAGCATGGAAATAATAATAATATATTTATATGCCACCCATCTGACTGGGTTACCCCAGCCACTCTGGGTGCCTTTCAACTAATGAAAACACAATACGACATCAAACATTAAAAACATTAAACATTAAAAGCTTCCCTGAACAGGGCTGCCTTCAGCTTTTAAGCTCTCTGCCTTGCACACCGAGGTTGGATGCTCTCTCAAGACCTCGCAGGAACTTGGATGGCACCACCAGATCTTGCAAGAGCACCCCGGAGCCTCGCTTGGGGGGCAAGGATAACTCGGTGCACAGCTGTAGAAAGGATGGTCATGCTGGGGCAGTTCCAAGAGGGTGGTTTAACTGTGCATGTTTTTGCATATAACAAGTAACCCCAGAACGTAACCCCCACTCAAAATGCAATCATGAGGTATAGTGCATGTTTGGCGCTCATTTCTGCGTTATTTGGGTCCAGAGAAAAATCTGTTTGCACCCCCTTTGACCCAGAAGATCATGGGAGTAAAGTGACAGCATTTGGGGCAGTATATCTGCATACATCTCTTTCCTGTTGCTGTTCCGCCCACATTTGCCTTTGGCCCCATCCACCACTCGCATATGGCCCCTTAAAGGCTGCACAGAAGTGAATGTGGCCCTTGGGCTGAAAACAGGTTCTCTATCCCTGCTTTAACCAAAGGGTAGCTCAGTCGGTAGCGCACAAGACTCTTAATCTCGGGTTGTGAGTTCATGCCCCGCGTTGGGCAAAAGATTCCTGCATTGCAGGGGGTTGGACTAGATGACCCTTGTGGTCCCTTCCAAATGTGTGTGTGTGTGCACCACTCACCTTTTCCCTCCTAAAAAGTAAGGGGAAATGTGTGTGCATGTTATGGAGCGAATGCAGGCTGCGCAGCTATCCCAGAAGCCAGAACAGCAAGAGGGATTGCTGCTTTCACTGTGCAGCGATCCCTCTTGCTGTTCTGGCTTCTGAGATTCAGAATATTTTTTTTCTTGTTTTCCTCCTCCAAAAACTAGGTGCGTCTTGTGGTCTGGTGCGTCTTATAGAGCGAAAAATACGGTATATATATTACCATCCATCAAAACACAAATCTTATGATTGAATTTGGCACTGGGCACAGGCAAATAATCTTTCAGCTATGACTCGCATCCGGAAAACTGAAAGTTGTGGACTGTTTCAGAGAGAGAGAGAAATACACATAAATTCTATTCAGAAAGGAGTCTGCCAGATTGTTACCTGCCTTCTTTCCCTCTCTCCATGTGCAACAGATAAAAGCCGTTGACAATGGGCGGCCGCAGAAATCTTCGACCGCTCGCCTCCACATTGAGTGGATTAAGAAACCGTTGCCTTCCCCCATCCCGCTGACATTCGACGAGCCCTTCTACAACTTCACCGTCATGGAAAGCGACCGAGTGACGGAGATCGTTGGCGTGGTCTCGGTGCAACCTGCCAACATCCCGCTGTGGTTTGACATTGTCGGTAAGCGTGGGCATGGTGCCAGTGGGCATCTTCCAAGCAGGAGGAAATAAGTGCGGTGTGGATTTTGATAAGGAGGAAACTATCAAGGGATTAGCTCCCCGGAATTAAGACTGCATTTGTGGTGCTGTACTTGAAAATGGCTAACTTAATATACTACTTTGTCATGCTTTGGTTATGATGCCTTAGCTAAGCTTTTATGGCTGGATTTTTCCTTTTTCTCTTCCATAATATGTGATTGACTTGCAATCCTAATGTTGTCTGTCATTTAAATTCTCTGGCCATAGTTTGCTAATCCCATTTCTAAATGTATTTTGATGGTAACTTAGATCGGCTGTCCCTCATTTCTCTCTCTCTCTTTTCTCTTCACGCTTTTATTTTTCCCTCTTGCATTCTGTTATCTCGGTTCTTTCTTTTTTTTCTGCTTCCGACTGCTGTGCTTCAAGGTGGCAAGCATGCTCGAGAGATGTTCTATATCCTACAGACAGCTTGTGGGCAGAACTGTTCAACAGAAGGTACCTTCAGTGCAAACACATTTGCTACAGTACACTTTCTAAACTGCCTTATTTATTTACCTTTTTTGGGGGGCATGGTGTTGTGTTTAAAAGAAAAAACCCTTAAAAGAGAGCAGTCTGAAGCCAACTGCACTTAAATCTTTACTAGCTACCTCAGAGACGACAAATGGAAATTGTGCAAGCCATTTGTCAGCCATTCCTATAGTCATTCTAACTACAGCATATCTTGACGAACATGAAGAGTTCAAGACTTTTGTCGCCCGCAATCACCCCAAGCTTTTAAATAATTTGGAATGACCTTGCAAATAACTCCATAGAAGTTACCAGCCTGCACGTGTTTCTACCTGTAAATGTTTGTACAAGCCCACTTGACAGATTAGACTTTGGACTTATCCACACTTAACATTTGCCCCTCGCTTTCTAGGCACAGAGTCACGCCTTCCCGTTCTGTGTCTGAGCGCTTTTTATTATTATTTTGCTCCCCACTGCTTTCCCCAGGAAGACCTGCTCTTTAACGCTGAATCGGAACAAACAGCAATTTGGGTTTTCTGCAGATTGCCCTTTGTTCCGATTCATCGGTAAAGAGCGAGTTTTCACAGGGAATGCTCCAGAGCAAAAACAAACAATGGCAACACCCTGATACAGACCAGGAAAGCCTGGACTTGTGCCTAGAAATTTTGAGCATGAGCCCTACATCACACTGCCTTTGAAAAGTGCCCAGGAACTTCAGCTTGTTCAAAAATAGCTCCTGGGATGTGGCCTGGAATAAGCATTGTGGGAAATATTTTACTAATATTGCAACAATTTGAAGTGCCAATTTCATTTTCTTTTTTTACCTTTAATCCCCTAAATGGTCTGGGCCCATTGACATCTTTAGGACTGCCTGCTCCCTATACAGTGGTACCTCGGGTTACATACGCTTTAGGTTACAGACTCCGCTAACCCAGAAATAGTGCTTCAGGTTAAGAACTTTGCTTCAGGATGAGAACAGAAATTGTGCTCTGACGGCGCGGCGGCAGCGGGAGGCCCTATTAGCTAAAGTGGTGCTTCAGGTTAAGAACAGTTTCAGGTTAAGTACGGACCTCCAGAACAAATTAAGTACTTAACCCGAGGTACCACTGTATATGTGTTGAGATTTCCTTTGGACAACTTGCTTCTTCTGCAAACAGGGCTTCCTTCTTGATGGTTCCCAAACAGTGCAATTGCCTTCCTAGAAAGCTTTCCTTGCTCCATCCTTAATTGATTCTAGATAGATGTGGTCCTCTTTTGGAGGGCTTTTGGGTGGCCCAAATCATCTTCCTCTCCTGTTTTTTGCTGCCAGTGTCTATAGTGTGCTTTAAATTACTTTTAGCATGTTTTATATGATATGTAGCTGCTCTCGTATACCTCATTAGCCAACCACCCTGGAGACATTGGGTTGAAAGGCAGCTTAACACATAAATGCCAAAACAGCAACAACACAATTTGTCCACCTGTGCCTTTCTTAGTAATTTATATTACAGGTTTGGACAGTCACAAAGAGAGGAAGTGGGGAGGAGGACAGAACCAGACCTTTTGTAAAAGTAGCTTGGTTTGGTCGCCTGGAGGCCATTGTTCCTTGCCTCAGGTGGCCAGGCAAGTAGCTGTTCATAAGGCTGCATTAAAAAACTTGAGTCTAACCACTGTTTTTTTTTTTAAAAAGTGGGGGTAAAGAGAAGAGGACAGATAGAGAAAGGGGGAAGCCAGGAGTCTGATTCTGTGCTAGATTGGCAGGTGTGTTACAAATGAAGGATGCTGTTTGCATATGAAGGGTTTGCATATTTCTAAATCCTGCTGACTGTAGCGGGACTCAACAAGCACTCCAGAGCGTTTGAGATTGCAGCTGATATTGCTAAATTGCCTCCTCATGGACGCATGCTGAATCAGAGACACGGCCAGGTGATTCTCCTATTTATAACTAGCGGGTGCAACATCAGCTGAGTTAGGGAAAGAAAGTCGGAGTTGCTGCCTCGGGCCACATCCTTCAATACCTCTGCTTTGTGCCCTGAACATTTTTGCCTTTTGAGGGATGCATCTTTGAAAATGTCTCTTGCAAGTCTGGCTGGAGGATGGAGAGGGATGTGTGATATGGAATAGAAAAAAAACCTACTGTAGGAAAAATGTTCTCCACCTGTGGACTAGATGGGGTGGGCCAGGCATCCCCAAACTCAGCCCTCTAGCTGGGGACTACAACTCCCATCATCCCTAGCTAACAGGACCAGTGGTCAGGGATGATGAGAATTGTAGTTCCAAAACAGCTGGAGGGCCAAGTTTGGGGATGCCTGGTCTGGGCTATCTATTCCTGGATTGTGATTACTTTTGCTGACCACCCAAACACCTGATGTCACCTGTGCCAGTTTCTCCTAAAGGACAAACGTAAAAGCCCTGGCAGGATTAACAGAGAGGAAAGCAGCAGTCATGTAAATGCATGAACAGCAGCTCAGCACTCCTGGAATAACGAATCACCCTTTTATTATTTATTTAGCACTTTTAAATTCTACAGAGTGCTGCACAAAGGAGGGGATAGAGAGGGTTCCTGACAGGATGGTTTGTAATCTAATAGGCACAGTAGAAAAGGAGGAAGGGTTGGGTGGCAGGAAGAGCAAAATGCACAGATTCTCAGTTGGCCTGATGACATCAAATGGGCCAGCAAGGTGCTGTCTCAGTCTGCAGAAGGCATGCAACTACAGGGCCTCTGAAATGTAGGTTTGTAGCAGTGCAGTAAAATGTGTGGCATCTCCCTGATGAGCACCTCAAGACAAATGGCTCACCATTTGGGCTAAAAGCAGATTGACTGAAAGAGGCCACGGTGGAGCAGCTTGGGCACATGATTGGCCCACCTGTGACTTAAACTAGGTGATTACATTTTCCACTAACAGCAATGGATGCTAGGATTCTATCCCGTATGCCACTGAAGAGTGTTAGAAAGCAGGCACAAAACAATAAAGGCAAAAATAGCATTCAGGTATTTGAAATACTGGCCTGTCAGTCTGAGCTGCAGCATAGCTGGATCAGCAGTCTGCAAAATGCAACTAGAAGCCAGTTTCCAAATCCCAGGCCTGCCAGTTTCCCTCTGCTAGATTTACTAACATGCGCTGCTTTTCATCTTTGTGAACTGAATTTCAGAATCATATGTTGTTTATGGAAAGAATGCAAAAACTACTGTGGTCAGGTTTCTATAATAACTGAAACAACAGTGGTAGAGTCCACAAGTGGAGAGCATTCCTCTTGTCCTTGTGTGTGCATTTGTAGTAAGCGTACAGTTAAAGATGGGCAAGGACTCTCCTCTGACCTCATGCTGGGTTTGGGGTCTCTCTCTGCTTCTGAGCACCTCCAAAGCTCAGCCTTAACTGTGGGGATGTCCTTTCGGGTTTATCCTTGCAATCCTTCAAGCTGCAGGGACTTCCAAAGCCTTTCTCCTCCAGAGTGCCTCCAAAACTCAGCATAAAGGTAAAGTAAAGGGACCCCTGACCACTAGGTCCAGTCGTGACCGACTCTGGGGTTGCGGCGCTCATCTCACTTTATTGGCCGAGGGAGCTGGCGTACAGTTTCCGGGTCATGTGGCCAGCATGACTAAGCCGCTTCTGCCGAACCAGAGCAGCGCACGGAAACACCGTTTACCTTCCCGCCAGAGTGGTACCTATTTATCTACTTGCTCTTTGACGTGCTTTCAAACTGCTAGGTTGGCAGGAGCAGGGACCCAACAACGGGAGCTGACGCCGTCGCGGGGATTCTGATC